GCTGCTATGTGAGCCTCTACATGTTCGACTAAACACTAACCTGTAGAAAGTCAGTTTGTTTACACCACTTTGAAATGGAAGGAAATAAAGTTTTTATTTTTCAACTTTATCGAACACAAGAGTTCACACAAGTAAAATAAACAAAAATAATGAAAGTGTGGGGGGGGATAAGTTTAAACGCTCTAAGAAACAGGTGGAGATGTACATAAATAATATTTTACCAGCAGAATATTCAGCATATCAGTATTCGTGGTTATGTTCTCAGCTTAAGCAGATCATGTGACCTGCCTCTGTAACAACCAGGCGGAAAGCTTCGGGTCAGAGATCAGATGCGAACGCTGAAGTCTCCGAAACCTGCATTCTATCGAACGAACAGCAGGGGGCGACTCTTCTGGTTGCAAAAAGAAGCCCTGTACCATTAGAAATAATGTGAAAATGTTTCTACTTGTCAGCTGATTTATTCCCTCAGTAAACACTTTCCTAATGACTTTATGGTCTCAGTCGCTAGTTTCAAGTCTTCTTCAACACAGCATGATGTTCATTTAGTAAATTATGGTCCCATTTAGAGGAAAATAGACCAGAAAGCAGGGGAGGCTTTAGGGCGGGATTATCTATGATTGACAAGTTGTTACCATGGCGACCGGTCAATCAGGCTAGAGTGACTCGTACCCTCAGCACTGTGTAAATTTAACCAGCGCCGCTGAAAAAGCTTATTAGGAGTCGGCTGTTCACTTTCTCTGGTGAGCACATTTAGTTTTAAGACTGTTGTTCGCTACACAAAGTTTATCAGCCCTGTTAAAATGACATTTGCACCTAGCTAAGCAAGCTAGCTAGCTCCGCACATGGCCGTTTATCCAAATACCGTCACTTCCTGGTTGCTAAAAGTCAACATGGCGCCGCCCTATCGGCCAAACTAGAGGCTTCAAAACTGGGTGACGTCACGATGACTACGACCATTTCTTAGTAGTCTATGGTAACAACAAACTGGGACACTACAGAAAGCTGCAGATGAAAAATTTATATCCAAGAATTCACATCAGCTACAAGAGGAGCCTGACATGAAAACAGCTGATATATTTTATTTTAAACATTTTGCTTGTTTGTTAACTGTGTAAATCAGCTTTTGTGTTATTTTTGATTTCATGTTGAGCAGCGCTCCTTTATTTTTTGTAATAAAACGTCTTATTCTTCAATTATATAATTATTTAAATACGTTGTAAAAACTGTTTGCTTGAACCAGTTGAAGGTGCGATTCAGGTCGGCATGGTGCCAGGAAAAATAAATAAATAAAAAAACCTTGACTAAACTTTTAAGCTCTAGATATGATTAAACATTTAAACAAGTTAGTAATTTTAAATAAACACCAGCACAGAGGAACAGAATCAGATTGAACAAATTGTAGCTAATGGACAGAAACCTGGCAAGTGTTGAAACCTTCCTGGATGGGTTGAGCGTCATGAGTTTCACACTGGTGTCTAATAAGCATGTGCACACCCACCCGCCCACACATACACAAAGCACAAGAGAGGAAGTATGAGGCCATGAGCCAGGGAAATAAAGAGAGCAACAAGTCTGACAGAGCGAGAGCTGAAGACAAAGAGAAGGAGGCAGGGAGAATTAACGCAGTCTATTCTCACAGGGGGGCTGGGACCTAGAAGAGTAAGTAAACCTAGCAGAAGCCTGCGGGGCCGCGGCGGTCCCCTGGTACGCCACAGCTGCTGGCACACGGCCTGCCTGCTCAGAGTGGAAACAGTCAGAGGAGCCAGCACAAATGCGCTGTTACAAACTGCAGGGCAGGAGGAAGCAGGAAACACGGCGCTCCGCATTGAGCCACCGCATCAACAACAGTGACACTAAACACAAACACAGCCCGTCTCACGATCGCAGCCTGAAAACTCCGCAGGTGACGGCAGGTACCTGCACGCACACACTGAAACAAAAGATTAATGAGCAAGTACCACCACGCTGATGTTCAAAGATCCCAATATGGGACATTCAGCGCTGCAGGGCCTTTTTATTCAATATGTGCAACAAAAAAAGGAACGAAAATTACTTTGTCAGGAAAACACGAAGTGGTTTATTTTTAGCCCGCGTGGTGTAAAAATGTGGAGAAAGTGTCGAGTTTGTGATAATGGCTTTTTATGGCCAGCTAGATTGCTGGGTGTGGACGTCAGGACAAGCAGCAGTAATGGAGGAAGAACCCCAGAGAGACCAATAACACCCCCCACCCCCTTGACCACAAGCAATCAATGTTATAGATTGTAATATCCGGTGGATGTAGGTGCACGTTTCTTGCACGGCCGAAGTGTCACATAACAGATACACTGATGAAACCACACTGCACTAGTTTCAGAGGATCTCCATCGACTAAAAGTGCGGACCAGGTTAGAAAAGCGGCAGTGAAAACACCAGTCAGATGTCATCTGTTTGTTACAACTTTGGATTTGTTTTGATAGGCTACGTCGCCAACGCCTCGACGTGCAGCGCCGCTGCTGCTGTGAACAGAATTGTGGGAGGTAAAGTCCAGAAGACAAGTTCTTTTCTTTGGCAACTTTATAGAAAATGGCCTACTACTGATGGGAAATCACCGGAGCAGACTTCCAGGGAGAAGGAGAGAATGAAAGAAGCAGGGCACGCTGACGTGTTCGCAGCAGAGTGTGCACACACGATATATTATTATATATACACCGGTAGTCAACCTTACAGTACCGGGATATGACTTTTTGGTCCATATCACCAAGCCCTAGTACCGAGGATCCAACAAGTGGAAGATGACGACAAGAGCAGCTGCAGCGACGGCTTCGCCGCCAGGTAGAGAAACCGGCGTTACCTTCTGTAGCTCCGTGTCAAAGCCTCGATTTCTCAGAGTTTTAGGAAAATGTTGGAACAGTTTCCCCCCCCCCCCCCAACACAGAAATCTCAAACCACTGCGAGTATAGATAGTGACCACCTTTAAACATTTCACACCTGTGAGCTTGTAAAAAAAATTAAATAAATAAACCTTCACAGCTGTTTCACAGTTGTTTTGTAATGTTGAAATGTTTTTATTAAAAAGGTTGGAATTGGGGATTTTATTATCGTTTTGTTTTTTTACTGCGGTATTGACTATGGTACCGAGAATCATGGGATTTCACTGGTGTTGGTATCTAGATGTCTGGTGTCGTGATATCCTTAATAGCAGTTGGGATATTTCAGTCTGGACCGTTGCTACAGCCAGCCTGTTAAAAGATTTGTTAGCCTCAGAGCTCATGGGATTCAGGTATTTTATCAACCTGAGACCAAAATAGAACTGCTGGGAGGTAACTCTTATTACACAGGTACAGAGTTAAGGGTAACAGCAGTGACGTATGGGATTAAGTCCACAAACACGCTCCGTAATGTCCGATACATGGCAATATCAACCCTGAGTTTGTGGATAACATTAGCCACCATAAACATTAGCTTAGTTGGCGTTTATGAAATCACGGCGCCTTTCTCAATCTGTGTTCTTGTGAAACGTCATTTTTTTGTGGCCCAAGTTCTCTCCCAATACACAAGTTTGCATTTTGGCAAGAACAGTTAAAATTCCCGGAAGTGTTCTTGACACGCCCGTTTTACCGAGTGTGTGAACTTGACGGCAGAGATTTCCCAGCATTCATTTCGGCATTTAAGCGAGTGGTGGCAAGAAGCTGAGAGAGAGGCTGACAACAGAACGCTTTCTACTATTTTCATACGTTATTTCATCACTAAATCCACTTCTGACAAGGTTAGGGCTAGGGTTTTAACATCATTACATTCTGAATCCTTTTGTAAGGTTTTAACTTAAATCAAGAGACAAGTAGATGATGTACCGAAAAATCTGGTCTTGTGAAACTTCGGAAAAAATAAAAATAGAAAGAAATAGAAAGAAAGGGGACCGTCTTTGCTTTATTATTATCATTATTATTGTTAGTATTATTGTTATTGTTAGTGTACAGTAGAGTTGTGGTCACAGTATTTGCCTTTTATTTTATATATCTTTTATGTATGTATTTTATATGTATTAACCCGATTCTGAGCTTTTTGTCTTGGGGGATAAAGCCTGGCTGTTATAATAATAAGAGCAATTTAGAGCAATGCAGGCGGCCTCTGTGCTGGGGATATTAAGCAATACCAGCAAGAACGCATCGTCTCAAACCGTCAGCAGCGTTCTGTGCGCTCGTGACATTGCAAGTTCATTCTTCCGAGAACGACTAGCAAGACTGTTCTCCCCAAGAACACAAGTCCTTTCTTTGCATTCTTGGTTTTGAGAAACACCCGCTGTCTTCATTACATAGTTTGCCCACCAGAGAGCACCGGCACGTTTGTGTTCACCTGTAAACGTGTCCTGCACACCTTTCACAATCGAGGGCACAAATGAATTCAATGGGATTACAGCCGTGGAATGATTTGCTATATTGGAGGGAGTGATCATTTTCATATAATTACTCTCACGGTCATTGAAAAATATTAAAATAAATTAAGGGGTGATTTTTGCAGGGATCTGTACCGAACAAAGATGTTTTGTCAAGTCTGTAGAATATGACATGAAGGACAGGACATCAGTGCAGCACAACGATATTCAATTTAAAATGGTATATGGACACACATTTCATTTGAAAACTGCAGTTTTTCAATGACTTGTTCAGCCCTAATATATGTTTTTTTGTTCTTTTATTTTACAAAAACTCTCAAATAGAGATTTCGGTCATTCTTAAATGGTCAGTATCGGAGCAAGGCAGCCAATTTAGACCAAATGTGGTGGTGAATCAGCCAATTTCTGTGTAAAGTGAGAGCATGTCTTCAGCAGCTCGGAGGAGCGATGTGCACCATTGGTTGTGTAAATGTGATCACATTCAAATAAAACAGATTTCAACAAATTGTTTTATTGGATTGTCTTCCCTCCTGCTGCTGAATGCTGGTAATTCATTTACAACGTCTACAGCATTTCATCTGAGCGGGTACTGTCCTTTAATATAATAAAAACAAATGTCAAGACTTACCGATTTTCTGGTTGAAAATTTTGTCAAATGTCAGTTCATCTCTCTCCTCGAGGTACTTCTGCATCACGCTGCGGATACTGTGAACACAAGGAGGTAGGGGAGGGAGAGGTGCATTAATACACGCCATCATTAGCAGATCACTCAGCCAGACGCAACAATAGCCTAATGTCAGAGACGGCTGTCGTGCCCTCCTCCACCTCCACCTCCACTCTGTGGTCCCGGCCGAGGTTTGGGACTCTCCCCGCCACCTGTCCCCTGACACAGTCAGACTGTGAGGGACACATGGGAGGCTGCTGGGGGACCTGGAGGGAAACATGCTACCCTGGGAACAGGTGTTAATGAGAAAGAGAGTGGGGAGAATTAATCAATTAGCACCCCCTCCACGGGCCCATTAACGACACCAGCGCCCTGCATACATGAGAGAAAAGTGCCCGGGCCTCACCTGCAAACACCACTGCAGGCACATACTGAGCATGTGCGAGGCGAACCCTTGGCTCCTTATGACTAGGTCATAATTTCTGCAGTATTTACATTGTGATAGCGTTTGCTCTTTTCCCCAGTTTGCTCTCACGGCAAGGTAAAGTTGTTTTCTGTTCCAACGGCAGACAGACAGCACTACCATAAATAACCTTTGGCTTCCAGGATCCAGTCCAAAGGAAATCCTAAAAGCTATAGAAGCATTCCCAGAACAAAATGTCAGGGACTGCAGCGAGCACTGATGCTGACTGACTTTATAACACTTGAGTATTTATTATTTTACAGTTTATAACTTATCGCTCTTGTATGCAGCAAGGGTAATATAGTTTTTCATTTCATTTTGACCTTTTGTTTTCAATTTGAGTTTAGTTTATTAGTTTTGAAGTTGGTTTGCTACTTTAGTTTATATTTTTTGCTTACTTTTAGTTTAGTATTTATTGGTTTCAGTGTTTTAGTTTCAGTCTTTGGGACTCGGCCGCTTTCTCCCAACTTTTGCTGCCATGATGCCATGTGAGGGGCGTGGACTGAAAACTGGCACAGCTAAGAAATTGAAAGATATTTCTGAAATCCACCCAAAAAATAAACAAACATAGACGAAAGACATTTACTCTATTACTATAATTTTAGTTTTTACAAACAGACAATACAGTTTCAGTAAGTTATCAGGGTTTTCCTAAAACCTTGTTTTTAATTTTTATGTTAGCAAATATTTTTCCACACCTGAGTCTCAACTGGCCTCCATAGACTTTAATGCATTGAATACTAGGGATGCACCAGTCCCATTTTTTCAGATCCGATACGAATACCTGGGCTTTGGGTTTCAGCCGATGGCGATTAATGATCTGAAAGCAGTGGCTTGACTTAAGATCTGCTTCCTAATTTTGCTAAATAAAATGGTTGGTAGTGTTATATTTAGCTACCGCGGCCCCTTGAAGCCTTTGCAGATATTGCAAGTAGCCGTAGATCTTGTTAGTGTGAAATACCTCTAATCTGCTGACCCCTTGATTTTAGCTCCCTCCATGCTATGTCAGCTCCATCGATCCCCTTGTCACCAATCACTGATCCAGCTATTAGAGTCAGTATATCAGTCATAGTAATTAGTAACCTGTCTGTGTCATTACAATGAGTTTAGAATAATATGCACGACTTGAAATACTAATATTCTTGGTAGTGTTAAAACTGTAGGACGTAAAGTGTTTTTTTCCCCCACAAATGGCTCATTAAATATTCAACTGAATCTCCAACAATGCAGGAATCTCTACTCGTGTCGCGACATACGGACAGTTTAGGAGACGTACACAGTTTTGTAGTTACAGGTGAGCAGAAGGATAATGTGTGGGACTGTGGCGCCACAGCTAATAAAAGCTAAATTTACCTCCGTCCCCCAGTGAAAGTCAACAACATGTTGTTGTTGTAGCTCATATATTTTCTCCAGCCCATAAAAATATGAAGGCACTGTAGGCAGACACTGAAAGTATAACTCGGTCCAATTCACGGGGCCTAAACTGGGACTACTTGCAACCAAACGTCGTATTTGAATGTTACGTGGGCAGATCTGTTGGGAGAGTGGGAATGAGCAGTGGATGCAGCATTTCAACTGCAGCAGCAGCAGCTACAGGAACAAAAACCTAGGAAGTAAACACTTCCTCTTTTAGAAGAGGCCTGTTTGTGTGCCCCACTGAATCACTAGCAGCTGACTCTGGATTATTTGTATGAAACCTCACCACTTAGACTCCATATTAAGGCAGCTGGTAACATTAACCGTAAACTGCGGGCCTCAGACATAAATAAAATATGGGGGTGAGAAGTTTCTGATAAATCATGAATGGTTTGTGATGTCCGGTAAGAGGGGATGTTTGCAGACAGACCGCAGTGGGTGATGACATGAAAACACAGGTGCGCAAAAGAAAGAAATCACATGGGTTTTTATTTATAATGTCAGTTCAGCCGATTCACACAGACTCGTATCGGGCACAAAGAGAGTTTGTATTTTAACTGCTCAGGATTTGAGATCTCCATCACCACCCTAATACAATGCAGCGTTTCCTACAGGAGTTTGAGAGACTATAGTGGGTGGACCTCGGACCCTCCGGGAGGGAAATATGCACATTTTAAAGTTTAATTCATTAAGTTAATCTGGTGCAACTTAAGAGCAAAATTAAGAGGCTCGGTCTGTGAAGAACTCTGTGCTCTTGTAAACAGTTTGGTCATAATGACCTTGTATAGGAATAAACTCTGATGACAGATAAAAAAAGTCAACAAATTAAATGTTTCTGCAGCAAAATCAAAGAATCAAGTAATCTTTATTCCATACTGTGTAAACTTGGTGTTAAAAACGTCGTATTCATAGAATATATCGTCTTTCAACCAATATTTTCTGCTCCCTAATTGGCTTGTATCATAAACCTTAAAAGAAAAGTGTTTGTCTCGAGTCAGATGCCAAAGTGCGAGAGCGTGTGAGCTTATAGCAGCGCCTCAAAACACAACATTAGAATTCTTGTGTGTTATTAAGTCCAACTGTAAGTTATTATGAAACTATGGCGGAACAATTTAGATTGTGACGTGCCGCCATAGTCTCGGTAATTAATAGGAAATGGTGGCTTGTTGGTGGCATTGAAATATATGATTTTTACAACCTCAACCACAATGTTTCTGCTGTGAAAACACGCGCCAGTCGCTCTAAATAATGTTCGGCAGAGTTCGGCGCTGTATTACACCCAAGAAACAAGCAGCAGCATTAGCTTACGGGAGCAGATGACCGGAGCAGAGCAGAAAACAAAGAGGCTCCCTGCTGTGACAGTCTGAGTGACAGAATGACTGCTGGCACGCAGTGATAAATAAGGCAAAATTACCTAGAGGGGACGGCCACGATGCTGAAAATGTGTTACAAGTGAATGAATGGAGCACTAATGCTGGTTTTCCATTTGCTGTATTATGAACAGAAGCCGATAGAGATGAAACAATTAGTGCAGAGAGTCTCTGTTAAACACGCTCCCATGTGCCATCATTCAAATATGAAACTACAGCAATAACACCTTCACCCCTCCAACCACTGACAGGAAAAAGGTTTCTGCTGCAGGTTTGGGGGAAAAAAAAAATGTGTCTGATTTTACTGGAAAGGAAAATTTAGTGCAATAGTCCCGACACTGTTATCATCTCCAGCAGCGCTACGTTGTGGTGTCGGAGGCATAAAATGCACTGCAAGACTGGCAGCCTATTTCTGACACACACACACACACCCTGTCGCCCAACACTTGCTCCAGTGCAATGATAATGCATCACTACAGAAGGTGCCTCACCCCTGCTGGGCGTGGTTGTCTCATGTGCATGCGCATAAACTTAGTTAAAAACTTGGTGGCCTATGACGTTACAAGTCACGGTGCAGGTAAAGCAGCTGTGAACACACAGGGTGCAGATGTCATTAACAGGCTCACCTGCTGCTGTGATAACGGCTCGTTGGTGGAAAAATACGGATCACGACGCACGCTTGATGTCGTGATGTCTGTCAGCCGTCGCTCAACTCAACACTAAACCCAATTTCTTCAGTCAGTTAGTGATTTATCTTTCCAGCTGATCATACTATCACTTGATCATGGTCCAATATTTATTATTATTAAAAATCTTTACAAAATGTTCGGCATTTCCTCACGCTCCACTGGAGCTGCAGAAATCTATCCGTCGACCAGAAACTAGTTTGAAAAGCAAAAATTGGCTGTTCCGGCTTCTTTTCTTGAGGCTTACATTCCAGTAAATTAAATATTTTGGGGTTGTTGACTGGACAGCACGCGCCGCGGGGTGTAAGCGACTGTAATGAGCATTTTAAAATATTTTCTAATGTTTCACAGACCAAACGATTAATCAATAATGAAATTAGTTGCAGCCTTACACGCCACGTCTCCGAAGCTTACGACGACATTAATTTTTACCCCCCATCTAAAAAAACAGAAGTAGAAAGAGAGAGCTCCGTCTCTGTTCTCCCTGAAGCCTCAGTATTTGGGCTGCAGTTTGACGAAGCGGCATCGCAGCTGTACGGATTTAAAAGCAGATGCTGCTCAGCTGAAACTCGCTCGCCGTGGACGCCGAAAGAAAGGGACACTGGGAGCGTCAGTGGCCACGAGGTGATGCAGTGGAGGAGTCGGGAAATATAAGATCTTCTGAAGTGTCCTGTCACCGCTCTGTCCTGGGCTGCAGACAGACAAGGTCCGTTTAAAGACTTTGCTTCTGGCGGTGGTTCCATAACTCTGCCTCCATTACACCTGCTTCAGCAAGGACCAGCACGCTTAGACGACGACCTGCTTACCTCGCCAACACAACCTACCCACACTAGTTTGGTCTTCTGCTGCCTCCTAGGTGACTAGGGATGGGGATCGTTAATTTTTATTGACACTGATACCCTTCTTGAGACTGCTTAACGATCTGATTCTTTATCGATACTTTACTATTATTTAGTGATGGTTATTTGGTAAGACCAGACCCAACGTGCAGGCATGAGGTAGGCCTGCACGGTATGAGGAAAATATTCATTGTGCAATAATGTTATATATTGAGATGACATATCACTTGTGATAAATAAACAAACGTGTTAAAGTGTACATATTAA